CCGCAAACTCCGCCTCCTGGGTTCAAGCAATTCTGTTGCCTCAGCCTCCCAAATAGCTGGGATCACAGGCACGCACCACCAGGATGGGCTAATTTTGTATTTTTAGTAAAGATGGGGTTTCTCCATGCTGGTCGGACTGGTCTCGAACTCCCAATCTCAGGTGATCTGCCCACCTTGGCCTCTCAAAGTACTAGGTTTACAGGCATGAGCAACCATCACGCCTGGTCGCATATTTTAATTTTTAAAAACAAACATAGGCCAGGTGCAGTGGCTCACCCCTGTAATCTCAGCAGTTTGTGGGGCCAAGATGGGCAGATCACTTAAGGTCAGTTCAAGACCAGCCTGGCCAACATGGTGAAACAAAGGTGAAAAAGCTTGATAAGTGGGTGCCTCATGAGCTGACAGAAAATTTTAAAAATCATTATTTTGAAGAGTTGTCTTCTCATTCTTTGCAACGATGACAAACCAGTTTTTGATCAGATTGTGACATGAGACAAAAGCGGATTTTATACGAAAACAGTGAAACTCAGTGGTTGGACCGAGAAGATGCTTCAAAGCACTTCTCAAAGCCAAACTTGCAACAAAAAGAGGTCATGGTCACTGTTTGGTGGTCTGCTCCCGGGCTGATCCACTACAGCTTTCTGAATCCTGGCAAAACCAATACATCTGAGAAGGATACTCAGCAAATCGATGAGATGCATCGAAAACTGCAACACCTCCAGCTGGCATTGGTCCACAGAAAGAGCCTGCTTCTCCACAACAACACCTGACCCCACATTGCACAACCAACACTTCAAAAGTTGAATGAACTGGGCTACAAAGTTTTGCCTCATCCACCATATTCAACTGATCTCTCGCCAACCAACTACCACTTTTCCAAGCATCTAGAAAAATTTTTGCAGGGAAAATGCTTCCACAACCAGTAGTATGCATAAAATGCTTTCCAAGACTTCATCGAATTCCAAAGCACAGATTTTTACACTACAAGAATAAACAAACTTATTTCTCGTTGGCAAAAACGTGTTGATTGTAATGGTTCCTATTTTGATTAATAAAGATGTGTTTGAGCCTAGATGAAATAATTTAGAATTTGCAATCCAAAACCATGATTAATTTTGCACCAACCTACATTTATTACCTCAACTGATCCTCAACTTTTTTTTTTTTTTTTTGAGACGGAGTCTCCCTCTGTCACCCAGGCTGGAGTGCAGTGGCACAATCTTGGCTAATTGCAACCTCTGCCTCCTGGGTTCAAGCAATTCTCCTACCTCAGCCTCCTGGGTTCAAGTAATTCTCCTACCTCAGCCTCCCGAGTAGCTGGGATTACAGATGCTCTCTACGAAGCCCAGCTAATTTTCCTATCTTTAGTAGAGACAGCGTTTCACCATGTTGGCCAGGCTGGTCTCAAACCCCTGACTTCATCTGCCCACTTTGGTCTCCCAAAGTGCTGAGATTATAGGTGTGAGCTACCACGTCTGGCCTAATCTTACGTTTCCTTTTTTTTTAAGAGATGGGGTTTCACCATGTTGGCCAGGCTGGTCTCAAACTCCTGACCTTGAGATCTGCCCGCCTTAGCCTCCCAAAGTGCTGGGATTACTGGTGTGAGCCACCTCGCCCAGCTATTCTTACTCTTTAAAAGAATAAAGTAAAGCCAGATAATAAAAAATGTCTTAACCCAGAAATCTAACCTTTTTGAATGATGTTCTCCATTCACAGAAGCATTTAATGCACTATAAGTGTGCAGTAAACAGCAAAAGCCAACAGGCTCTAATCACTTAAACTCTAGAGGATATATGACATAGCTTTCCTAAAATATCACCAGTTGGGTATAAAAACTTAGACTGGCTCAACTCCCAGCTGTATATTAACACCAAAACTCCAATGAGTCTATACTGTCATAACAAAAATCATTTGCCTAAATATCTTCCAATCCATATTAGATGTATTAATATAAACCATATCCCATCTGAATTGCTACAACTCCACTTGATAGTTGAAACACACCACAACACACACACACAGATACAGAACTTGGGAGTTCGAGCTGAGTTCTGTGTTTACAGAGTCTATACAAACTGATTTTTCTTAAGGTGTTTTACATCATTCTCAATCAGCTTATAAACAGAAAAACTGGATGGCTAAGTCCTCTTGTGTTTAATTGTGATCAAATCCCAGAACGTCTTTAGTCATAGTAGAGTTCACAATGATAAAGTTCAAATCAGCTTACCCACCCCATTCCTCCCATACTACTTCCTACAGCTGCCACTCCTCTTGAGAACTGAAGCCAGTTAACCAACCACTTTCTCAATGGTGACTGTGACTTAAACCTTCACAAGACATCCAGTGAAATATAAAGACTTTAAAATATCAGTTTTTGGCTGAGCATGGTGGCTCACACCTGTAATCCCAGCACTTTGGGAGGTCAGGTGATCACCTGAGGTCAGGGGTTCAAGACCAGCCTGGCCAACAAGGTGAAACTCCATCTCTACTAAAAAAAAAAAAAACAAAAAAAATTAGCCAGCTGTGGTAGCTTGTGCCTGCAATCCCAGCTACTTGGAAGGCTAAATACGAGAATCACTTGAACCTGGGTGGGAGAGGCTGCAATGAGCTCAGATCACACCACTGCACTCTGGCCTGGGTCACAGAGTGAGACTCCATCTTAAACAATAAAAAATAAAATACCAGTTTTTCCTTCTTATAAAAGTAATACATAGCTTTGTGCAGTGGCGGTATCATAGCCAATGAGGTTTATCTGAGGCACAATTATTGCTAATTGAAAAGTAAAACATGCTCATTTTAGAAACCTGAGAAACTATAAAATAATAAGAAGCAAAAAAGTCACATTATCCCACCAAGAGAGAAATTAATCATTACTATTATTTCCATTCCTGGCCATCCAGGGTCTCCTCTGTATATAAAAGTATATTAGTTCATTTACCAAACAGGATTTTAAGTACTGTAGAACAAGGGGGAAGCAGCCTACTAGTTTTTTGGAAGACTAATTTTCTTCAGTGTAAAGAAGTTACACTTACTGCTGAGTAAGTCAACCATATGTACAGGAAACTGAAGAGAATGACAAAGATGAGGGGAATCATACTTGCTCTTTTTCATTCACTCACAGCAAACCATGGAGTCCATGTTTTGGGAACCATTATGTATGCAAAGACCAACTAATGAGTATATTTTCTTTATAAACAGCAGCCCACTAAATAAACAAATACATATATACAAATATGCATATACATATATACATACAAATATATACACAAATATACAGTCTTGCCACAGTGAAAGGAATGACATTAAGAGTATTTTTTGTCACCATTAAAGTATCTTAAGAGAAAGTAAAGGGATATGTGAAAGGTTGATCTAAAATTCATGACTTCTTCCACAAAAATATTTTCTGTGCACATCAGCTGAAGGAACAATCTAACTATGGAAAAAGTAAGTGTTGGTTTTATAATGCTATAATTTATTTACATGTGTAAATAAATATGCAGGAGTTTAAACAGTCTATAAATATTGATAGCTTACTCTGTATCAGGCACTGTATGAAGTGCTAGGGAATAAGGAAGAAAACAGCCACCAGTCCCTGCTTTTGCAGAACCTTCAGTCTATCTCTTTAAATATGATGTCAAACACTAGGCATGTGGCCTCAAGGCTGACTAAATGATCTCAAATCCTTGTGATGATCTAAGAAGATATATGTGAAAGTAGCTTATAAATCATGTTACCTAAGGTAAAAAGGGATATGTGGCCTTTTATGCAAAGCACTGTATACAGGAGTCATCTTCGATATAAACTATCTCATTTCTTTTAAATGGCAAAAAAAAAAAAAATCATTCAAATTGCTTAATATAATCTCTTTTCACAGTCTCTAAGATTTTAATATTATCTTTCTCTGCCAATGACCCATATGAAATAACTGAAATTAATTTCCCCATAATGGGGGAGAAAAGACTCATTTTTTTCTAATACAAAAAGCCTTGTTTCCTAATTTCATAATTTATGGGGGTTGAGAAGCAGGCAGCCACAAATCAAAAGCAACTTATTCAAATTCAAGAAAAAATTATGTTTTAATCTAAGAATCATCATGGAAAGTTTGTTATAGGCTCAGGTTATTCCAAATAGAGTTAGTGACAGGTTAATTGTGTTACTTTGAGAGCAAAGGAGAGCAAGCAGCAATTATTCATCTCTTCACTCAGTCTCTAAGACCTAACCTCTTTAAAAACAGAGAGAGATATATTACTGCCAAACTGCTTTCCAAAAAAAGTAATATTTAAAAATATGCTCTACACAATATCAATTATTCATATTGAAAAGTAATGGACTACATTGCTTCTTATCCTATGATTTACCCTATTCAAATTCAGCCACCTCAACAATGCAAAAAGTATCAAACTGATGCTTTAAATTTATTTTTGCCCTTATTGCAGATATTGCAGGTATGACTCTCAAGAGCATGGAACTTTTTTTTGTCTCACTCTGTCAACCAGACTGGAATACAGTGGCACGATCTTGACTCACTGCAACCTCCGTCTCCCGGGTTCAAGCAATTATCCTGCCTCAGCCTCCCAAGTAGCTGGGACTACAGGTGCATGCCACCATGCCCAGTCAATTTTTGTTTGTTTGTTTGTTTTTGAGATGGGGGTTTCTCCATGTTGGTCAGGCTGGTCTCAAACTCCCCCTGCTTCCGCCTCCCAAAGTGCTGGGATTACAGGTGTGAGCCACCACACCTGGCAAATTTTTTGTATTTTAGTTTCACCATGTTAGCCAGGATAGTCTCGATCTCCTGACCTCGTGATCCGCCCACCTCAGCCTCCCAAAGTGCATGAGTCACCGCACCCAGCCTAGCATGGGACAGTTTAAAGGCATTCATAATCCTACTAAACTCGGCCACCTGCAAAACTAGTGAAATGCGTAAAAACAAGTATCTATAAATGCCCAATATTAAACCTTAAGAGTCTAAAGCATTAGCAACCAACGCAAGTATAACATACCTCCAGGAGACCGGGCACGATGGCTTACAACTCTAATCCCAGCACTTTGGGAGGCCGATGCAGGCAGATCACTTGAGGCCAAGAGTTCCAGACCAGCCTGGCCAACGTGGCAAAATCCCGTATCTACTAAAAAAATACAAAAATTAGCCAGGTATGACGGCACACACCTGTAATCCCAACTACTTGAGTGGCTGAGGCACAAAAATCACATGAACCCAGGAGATGGAGGTTGATGTGAGCCAAGACTGCACCACTGCACTTCAGCCCAGGTAACAGAGCAAGACTCTTGTCTCAAAAATATATATACATTTTATACACACACACATACACACACACACACACACCCCTCCAGGAGTACCCAAGATACCCCAGGGTAAAAAATGAAAATATCTTAACATCATTTTTAATTATCATCCTTGTTAATTTTTTGTTTGCATTTTATAAAGTCCACAATAATCAGTTACTATGTTTATTCTCTGCAAATTAAATACCTAAGGATTAAGAATTAATGCTCAAAAGGCCGGGTGCAGTGGCTCATGCCTGTAATCCCAGCACTTTGGGAGACCAAGGCGGGCAGATCACAAGGTCAGGAGTCCAACACCAGCCTGGCCAAGATGGTATAACCCCGTCTCTACTAAAAATACAAAAAAATTAGCTGGGCATGGTAGCACGAACCTGTAGTCCTAGCTACTTGGGTGAGGCAGGAGAATTGCCTGAACCCAGGAGGCGGAGGCTGCAGTGAGCCAAGATCGAACCACTGCATTCCAGCCTGGGCAACAAAGTGAGACTCCATCTCAAAAAAAAAAAAAAATTGATGCTCAATTTTTTTTCTTTTTCTCTTTTTTCAAAGCAACAACATGAAGTGATACCAATTTTTTTCCTAACTTCATTCTTCCCATCCCTTCAGTTTTGTTTTGTGTTTTTAAAGAAACAGTGTCTCACTATGTTGCCCAGGCTGGGGTACAGTGGCTATATTCATAAGCACAATCACAGTGAACCGTAGCCTTGAATTCCTGGCCTCAAAAATCCTCCTGCCTCAGCCAACCAAGTAGCTGGGACCACAGGACTATGTACTGAACCTGCTTAATGCTCAAAATTTTTTAGTGATGGGGTAAGCAACCAAAAAGTTTGAAGACCACTGGTCTACACTACTCCCTTGTCATTGAACTTTCATTTTTATCAGCTCCCTCCCCAGAGTTAAGCTATGGAGGTAAGTCCTGATGCTGAAAAAGAAACAGAAGAAAAACTGTTTCAAACTATTTTAAACTCCCAACAACAAGCTAAAGATGAAAAATCACTAGCAAGAAATACCTGGAATTGAATACTACTATGCTGTTGATGGGAATTTCAAATAGACATTCTATCTAAAGGGCACCTTGAGTATATTCAAATTTAAAACACATATACCCTCTGATCCAATAAGCCCACTTTTTTTTTCTTTTGAGACCGAGTCTCACCCTGTTACCCAGGCTGGAGTGCAGTGGCTTGATCTCAGCTCACTGCAACCTCCATCTCCCAGGCTCAAGTGATTCTCCATACCTAAGTCTTCCAAGTAGCTAGAATTACAGACCCTCACCACCACAACCAACTAATTTTTAGATTTTTAGTAGAGGTGGGGTTTCGCCATGTTAGCCAGGCTGGTCTTGAACTCCTGACCTCAGGTGATCTGCCCACTTTGGCCTCCCAAAGTGCTGGAATTACAGGCATGAGCCACCATGCACAGCTAATAAACCTATTTTTAAGAATTTATCCTGGGCCAGGTGCTGTAATCCCAGCACTTTGGGAGGCTGAGGCGGGTGGATCACAAGGTCAAGAGATTGAGACCATCCTGGCCAACATGATGAAACCCTGTCTCTACTAAAAAACACAAAAAATTAGCCAGGCATGGTGGCTCATGCCTGTAGTCCCAGGTACTTAGGAGGCTGAGGCAGGAGAATTGCTTGAACTCGGGAGGCAGAGGCTGCAGGGAGCCAAGATCACGCCACTGCACTCCGGCCTGGGCAACAGAGCAAGACTCTGTTTCAAAAAAAAAAAAAAAAAAAGTTCTGTAGCTTTCATAATCAGATATAGTTTCATTTTGAAATTTAAAATGAGATTAAGTTAAAATTCCAAATTATTGACCTATATCACTTCTAAAACTCGTTATAAACATTCTGTCTTCCCATGTCATTGGTAGAATCAATCTAAATACTTAATTAAATATTTGGTTTATCTCATGTAAAAATGATAGGCATCGAAAAAATAACAACCCTATTTCAAGTTAACCATCTTGTCTTTATACCAATTCTTGCCAGTTATGTCATGATTTATCAATATACTTATAATTTCCTTATACTTTTCCAGATTATAAATCTATGAATAATTCTGAAAACAAAACAAGTTTCTATTCCTCTTCTGCAACTAAGTTACAAAAGTATTAACTCCTTAAGAAATTAGATTTAGACCCCAGATAGGTGAAATCAGAAAAGTTTGCTACCATCTGTCATAACAGAATCATTCTGAATATCTGAGTTACCAGCATCAAAACAATATCTCTGTGGTTACCAAGTACTTCATACTCAACCTTAAGGGAAAAGGATACGTAAGAATATTATTGCGGCCGGGCGCAGTGGCTCACGCCTATAATCCCAGCACTTTGGGAGGCTGAGGCAGGTGGATCACGAGATCAAGAGATCGAGGCCATCCTGGTCAACATGGTGAAACCCCGTCTCTACTACAAATACAAAAAAATTAGCTGGGCATGGTGGCGCGCACCTGTAGTCCCAGCTACTCGGGAGGCTGAGGTAGGAGAATTGCTTGAACCCAGGAGGCAGAGGTTGCGGTAAGCCGAGATCGCACCATTGCACTCCAGCCTGGGTAACAAGAGTGAAACTCCGTCTCAAAAAAAAGAATATTATTATAGCATAAGTTTATGTGCTTTGTTCATTAAACCAACAATTTAGAACAAAGCTACGAGGTATTTCACCACTAACAGAATAGCTTTAAGGAAACCCATCTTCGCAATTTTCTTTTTTTTCATTTGTTTCATACCTATTTTATAGACAGTCATTCTACCCACATTGCACAAGTACTATGTACCTAAACAACTACAACAAAGTTTTATCACAACCCAAAAGAAAAAATAACCTTTTAGGCCAGGTACAGTGCCTCGTGTCTATAATCCCAGCACTTTGAGAGGCCAAGGCAGGAGGACTACTTGAGCCCAGGAGTTCAAGACCAGTGTGGGCAATGTAGCAAAAACCTGTCTCTACGAAAAATGAAAATAATGATTTTTAAAAAGAAAAAATATATTTTACACTGCAACCAAGTATATACACATAAACATAGCTTTTAAAAGGAAACAAAAGTTTCCCAAATCAATATTTACTTTTACTTTATGCAATGCACCGATATATTCTCTTTTTCAAAATACTTTTTTAAGAACATTGATTTCATTACCCTATGTCACTGCCACCTGCTACTTAAAAACACAACCTTAAAACTTTACACAGAACATGCTAAACTCCTTGCACCTACCACCTTCCACCACTGCTCCAACATAAGAAAATGGGTGAAATCTATCAAGTCTATTCCAAGTACAGATATTGGCGTAAATGTGAGACATCCCAGGTTCCTCTGAAGTTCCTGAAACATTGTGACTATTCCTACTGGCAAAGAGGATATATGTGCTGAAAGGTTTCTCCAGGCAGAGTACAGAGACAGAATTTCTGTTGCCTTATCAGTGACACTGGTAAATTCCGCACTTGAAAACATGTACCAGGTTTACCACTGCTTCACAAGCCAATTCTCCCAAGAAATAAAATAGGATTCTAATGCCACCCCTTACATTTTTAGAATACTTTTCATATACACTATTCTATTTGATCCTCCCTGGCACTCTGCTAGAAAAGTAGAGAAGATGCTCTTCTTCCTTTCACTAATGAGGGAATTGGAGCTCAGAGGGGTTACATGGCTTGCCAAAAACAACACGGCTAATGAAGAATACAACCCAGGCTTGAACCCAAGATTTACTATTCTATCCACTTTCATGCTACAATTTTCATTTTTAATATCTGATACAAATGTGAGCTTAAAAGGTATATTGTTTCTAGATACAAAAGTAAAGATGAAAGCATGATGTATTGATGATATCTTAAAATTAAGATTAAAAATAGCAATGACACCGCATGCAATGGGTCAAGCCTGTAATCCCAGCACTTTGGGAGGCTGAGGCAAGCAGATCACAAAGTCAAGAGCTCGAGACCATCCTGGCTAACATGGTGAAACCCCATCTCTACTAAAAATACAAAAAATTAGCTGGGCATGGTGGTGCACACCTGTAGACCCAGCTACTTGGGAGGCTGAGGCAAGAGAATTGCTTGAACCTGGGAGGTGGAGGTTGTAGTGAGCTGAGATTGTGCCATTGTACTCCAGCCTGGTAACAGAGCAAGACTCTGACTCAAAAAAAAAAAAATAGCAATGACATGTTGGTAATTTTGGTAGCCTCTAAAGTAACTTGGAGTCCTAGTTCAATCCAATATGAATCTGATATCTTATATGTTAAATCAATGTTTCACTGATGACAAATTTATGTATATATTCACCATAGAAAATTACAGAATTGGGTGGAAAGAAATAACTAGCTATATAAATTACACAAACTCCCCCCAAACCATTCTCAAGTCTTGTGGCTTCACACTAAATTATGAAGTTCCCAATGTAAAACCCGATTTGATTTCAACACTAAGCAAATTACAACAGCCTAAGCATGTTCTTTCTACATAATACTTGCAACATACATTCAATTTCTGGAGCACTTTTGTACAATGTCTAAAATCCTCAGGCTAAAAGCAGAACCCAACACAGAATCATGTTTCTTTTAAATGAGAAAGGTTCATCTACCTATATGAGATGAATAACAACATAATTAGAAATCATTAAAAATGTACAGAATGAGGCCAGAGAAACTACTTGAGGCCATTAATTGTATAGTTTAGGAAACTGACACCCAGGGAAGTTAAGTGACATTCCCAACAGCAATTAATGACACAGATGGACTCAGCATATATGTCTGTCTGTCAATCCAGAACTTCGCATTATTCTTTACCACCTCTGCATTTAATGTGCTCTTAGAAAGTCACTAACATCTAAAAAACACATTAAGACTCAAAAACTAGGAGACACAATAATGTTCACGACAGTCTTTAGAAAGGAAAGGAATCTCAAAAATTCCAAACAACAAGCACTGAAAACTGGCTTTTTTTTAATTTCTTATCCAGAGCCCTACTTGATCAAAAACTTGCTGTTTAACCCAATGCAAAACATCAATTAGCTTTTAATAACTAACACTGCTATAAACTACCATAACTGTTCTTTTTTCCGTATCAATACTATTCACTTACTAAAAAAATATCTAAGGGCATAGAATATGCTGATAACTGCACTGGGTACTGGGGACATCAGGGGACAAAACAGACAAGGCCTCTGGCTCTTCTAATGGACAGCTGGGTGCAACTCTAAAAATACTACTCTGATTTGACAGGATATTTACAAAGTCCTTCCCTACTCTACACAACTATAACACCATTTTCTTCCACCTCTTCCAAACTTATAACAACCTTCACCACACCTCCTCTAAAATACGAATACTTCCTTTGGTAACTCAGCATTCCACTTTACTAAAGAAGGTGTGAACATGTTAATTAGAACTACAGCAGATTTTTAAACTGACTTTACCACTCCTCATGGCCTGTGGCAAATTTCAAGAACTTTTCACAATCCATAAGAACCCTTCCTGGTTCATAACCCTGGTCTCAGATGACTGCTAACACACCCATCCTACCCTCCACTAGAAATCTGAGTCAGATGGTTTAGGAGCAACCATAATGTTGGGAAGCATCTTCAGTGGATCCCTTTATGAGCTTACTTGCTTCCTCTCCTTCTCTGTTTATTTCCTCTGGATTCTTCAATATATCTCTGGATACAGTATAACTCCAATAATTTGGCATCAATTTTATCAGGTGTGTTTCTTGTGCACAAATTAACTTTTGGCAACAAATCTGTTTCCCCTACATAAATCCATTATATTTTAAGAGTTGCTTAATTTGCTTCTCTTTAAGTTTCTCATGCTTCCCCTTCTTCTCCACCTCTTAAATCCTTAAAGATCTATAAACAAAAGCACCCTGAGAAGTCATACTTAATGGGACTTCTGTGGAATACCCACCAACCTAAAGCAAAAGTTCACATGCCTTGCTGACCAGAAACATTCAGGGAGCTTTGTAAGGATGTATTCCCAGGTCCTGTCCTCAGAGATCTTAATTCATCAGGTCCTGCATAAGTTCAAGGAATTTAGGTAGTCCATACTATTTCTAATGATCAGCCTTAAACTAGACAACCACTGAAGAACCTGGGCTATGAGCTGAGAAACTTGGATTCTTTTATCGCTGGCCATTAACTACAAATAGGGCTGTACCACTGTGCTGGTCACTTGAAGTTCTCTGAGTCACCTGAAAATGAGGGAGTAATTGGAGCCAAAAGAGGTCTTCATAGGCAGCCAATCTAAAATTCTAGAATCCTCCAAATTTAGTTTAATATCACATACTATACTGGGCCTCAAAATAGTGTCATTCTGGCTGGGGGCTCACACCTGTTATTTCAACACTTTGGAAGGCCAAGGCAGGCGAATCACTTGAGGTCAGGAATTCCAGACCAGCAAGGCCAACATGGTGAAACTCCAGTTTCTACTAAAAATACAAAAATTGGCCGGGCGCGATGGCTCAAGCCTGTAATCCCAGCACTTTGGGAGGCTGAGGCGGGTGGATCACGAGGTCAGGAGATCGAGACCATCCTGGTCAACATGGTGAAACCCCGTCTCAAAATACAAAAAATTAGCTGGGCATGGTGGCGCGTGCCTGTAGTTCCAGCTGCTCAGGAGGCTGAGGCAGGAGAATTGCCTGGACCCAGGAGGCAGAGGTTGCGGTGAGCTGAGACCGCGCCATTGCACTCCAGCCTGGGTAACAAGAGCGAAACTCTGTCTCAAAAAAAAAAATACAAAAATTAGCCAGCAGTGGTGTCCCACACTTGTAATCCCAGCTACTTGGGAGGCTGAGGTGGGAGGATTGCTAGAACCCGGGAGGCAGAGGTTGCAGTGATCAGAGATCACACTACTGCACTCCAGACTGGGCAGCAAAGCGAGACTCCATCTCAAAAAAAATAAATATATATCATTCCGTAAGCTCTTCTAGCCTACAGGCCCTATAAAGGGAAGACTTTCTGCATGCCATTCTCCTGTCCTACTGAACAGCCCTGAATCTGAAAGGGTATGGTCCCCACCACCTCTCCATGGACAAATCACAAACATTTGACGTTAAAAAAAAAAAAAAAAAAATCATCTCCTGTAATTCAACCTAGGCCTCTCATGGCATTATCATCCACATATGAGAACGCTGAACCTCAACTAGGAAAGTATATGATTTTGGGGTTTGGTTTGGTTGTGAAAAAACAGATGTCACAGGCAGGGTGTGATGGCTCACGCCTGTAATTCCAACACTTTGGGAGGCCAAGGCGGGCGGATCAAGAGGTCAGGAGTTCGAGCTCAGCCAGGCCAATGTAGTGAAACCCGTCTCTACTAAAAATACAAAAATTAGCTGGGCGTGGTGGTGCACACCTGTAGTCCCAGCTACTCGGGAGGCTGCGGCAGAAGAATCCCTTGAACCAGGGAGGCGAAGGTTGCAGTGATCCGAGATCATGCCACATGGCACTCCAGCCTGGGCGACAGAGCAAGACTCCGTCTCAAAAAAAAAAAAAAAAAAAAGACTTCAGAAAACAAAGTGGATATCAAGATACTAGAACAGTAAGAATTTAGGCCTGGGTCTGGAAAGGACATTTGAATTTGAATATCAATACCTAACAGTAATCCATGTGCAAAACTCATAAGTGAGATTATCAAACTCCAGGGGAGTCTATTAATATGACCATAAAATCTACCCCTTAATTTTGACATTAAGTTTTCCAGACCAAAATACTACCGACAATATTATCTTATGGGTCCGGAAATGCCATACAACAAGCAAAATTTCTCCCCCAGAAATAACACTGTAAACAATTGCGGAGCAGTCCGACCAGAGTTCCCTGAGCTACGCAAACTGCCCCCAACCATCCTTCCCACCTAAGTACTACCAGGTCAGGAGGAGGTCCTGCTGCACGATCAGGCGGTCACTCCTCCTTTCCACAAGGCCCAGGCTCGCACCGTGCGCCCCGGGTCTCCCATGACCCCCGACCTCCAGTCTCTGTCAACGACGGACCCCCACAGACCCGGTAGGGGGCGAAGAGCGCACACCCACCTCCCGGGAGTCCGTGGGAATAACCCCGGGCGCTCCGGGGGTACGTCCCACACCCGGAGCCACACGGGCCCATCTCCGACAGGTCCGGGAAGGCAGCCCGAGCCAGGGACCCCGCCTTCCCCGCACCTAGGGTCCGGGCCGAGCTCAGCCGCTGAGCTCCCATTTCCACTCCCACTCCCAGCGCCACCCCCTGGCGGCGACGATGGCCCGGGACGCCCCTCCCCGGGCCCCGCACGCAGTCCCCAGCCCTTCCAGGCCACTGCCTCCTCAGAGGGTGACAGCCGCCTGGCCCGGGCCGAGGCCGAGGCCGGCCCTTCCTCCAGCTCCTCTTCGCCTCCCGAGGAGACAGGGGACGGGGGTGGGCTTCTTACCGGGCAGCAGGACATGGCGAGGTTCGCCACGGCACGGCCTCCTCCTCCGCCACCCCACCAGGCTCCCTGCCAGAGCCGGTGCGGAGCAGCGCCTGAGCCGCTGAGGCGTCTCGTCCGGCAGCTACTCCGCAGCCGCCGCCGCCGCCGCCTTCTCACAACCACAACAACATGGCGGCAGCGGCCACACAGAGCGCGCTCCCGATGCCGAGCCGAGCGACGAGCGGGGACGCGCGCGCACGCTAGGGCGCTGAGCAGGGTGTCCGGGAAAGGAGGCGGGTCTCCCCTGTTGGGCGGGGGCGGGGACTGGACAGGTGGTCACGCCCCAGGAGATGGGCGGGGCTGCAGTCCAGACTAATTCCCGCGGCGAGGGAGAGGCTAGCAAAAAAGCCCAGCGGAGAAAGATGGGCTAGACAGATGGGAAATGGGCGGAGGAAAAGAGATGACAAAAAAAATCTGGAAGAAAACCAAAGGTGGTCCTACAGGTTTATTTAGGAGGCATCTTTTCCAAGCTCTGTAACCCTGGGCAGGACATGGCTCGCTCTACTTACCAGAAAAATACTGGCATCTTTCACCTACAATTGTGATCACGATAAAACCAGTTTAATATAATGTAAGTAAATATAGTGTTTTATAAGTTGTATTCAGAATACACTTTTTCTTTTCTTTCTTTCTTTTTTTTTTTAAGACAGAGTCTGGCTCTGTCACCCAGGCTGGAGTGCAGTGGCACCTGGCTCACTGCAAACCCCCTCTCCTGGACTCAAGCAATCCTCCCACCTCAGCCTCCTGAGTAGCAGGGACTACAGGCACACAACATCATGCCCGGGTAATTTTTGTAGAGATGAAGTTTCTGCCATTTTGTCCAGGCTTGTCTGGAACTCCTGGGCTCCAGCAATTCCCCACGTCGGCCTCCCAAAGCGCTGGGATTACAGGCATGAGCCACCGGGCTCGGTCCAGAATACAATTTCAAACTGATTCAGCTTCAGCTCCTAATCAAAAGCTCAGCGGGAAGAAGTGACTTTTCAAACAAAATAAAAAACAACCACAAAAAAATTGTGACCTACCCACACTAGCCTGCAGAATTCCACAAACCAGGATTGCGTTACCTTAGGCCCTAACAGATGCACCTCCTCTGAGTTGCATTTTAACATTCTAGCCTTGACTTTTCTGGAAACTGGAAGAACTAGTCAAATGAAATCTATTCCTGCATTTGTTGTAAAGTTTTTTCCATCACACTTTCTGAAATTTATTTTCAATGTTTATTGTCTTTTTCCTCCACTAGAATGTTAAAGCTGCTTGAAGATAAGGATCTTGTTTGTCTTGTTCATCACTATTTCCCCAGCACCTAAAACTGTGCAGGTAAGTAGTAGGCAGTCGAATTTCTCAATTAACAGCTGGCTGGGCACAGTGGCTCACACCTGTAATCCCAGCACTTTGGAAGGCCAAGGCAGGTGGATCAGCTGAGGTCAGGTATTAGAGACCAGCCTGGCCAACATGGTGAAACCCTGTCTCTACTAAATATACAAAAATTAGCAGGGTGTGGTGTCAGGAGCCTGTAATTCCAGCTACTCAGGAGGCTGAGGCAGGAGAATTGCTTGAACCCAGGAGGCGGAGGTTGCAGTGAGCTGAGATCGAACCACAGCACTCCAGCTTGGGCAACAGAGCAAAACTCTGTCTCAAAAAAAAAACAGAAACAAAACAAACAAACAAACTAACAGCTAACATTTATTTATACAACTCATCTAGTTGAATCTTCACAACTTTAATAGGTAGACATCGTTATCTCCACGTTACAGATAAAGAAAGTGAAGCACAGAATAAATTGCTCATATTAAAACAAAATTCAAACCCAAACAAGCAGACCAAAAAAAAAAAAAAAATCTGTGTTCTCATCCACCAGGCTGTACTGCCCAATGCATGACACAGTAGCCTGAAATAAAATCTCAAGTAAGAAATTACTTTAGGCCGGGCACAGCGGCTCATGCCTGAAATCCCAGCACTATAGGAGGCCGAGGCAGGTAGATTGCTGGAGCTCAGGAATTCGAGACTGGCCTAGGCAACAAGGCGAAATCCCATCTCTACAAAAAATACCAAAAAACTGGCCAGGCATAGTGGTGCACATCTGTAGTCCCAGCTATTTGGGAGGCTAAGGGAGAGGATGGCTTGAGCTTGGGAGGCAGAGGTTGCAGTGAGCCCTGATTGTGCCACTGCATCTCCAACCTGAGCGTCAGAACGAGAAAAAAGAAAGAACGAAAGAAATTACTTTAGAGTTCAAAGCTTGGAAAGCCCTTGCTTTACTATGAGGAAAAACGGTGTGTTTCCTATTTTCTGATAACTGTTATGCAGCTGATTGTGTCTCTCTTTTCACTCTGGCTTCCAGAAAGCCCAGCTCTGGACTGGGCTCCTCTTGCCCCTTAAGGTCCACTCTTGCCTCAACTTTGCACCTTTATTTATATGTGGCTGTCCGATTTTCCCTTTCTGTTGTATGACTACAGACTTTATGGAATGGGAAAAGAAATAGTAAATACACAAAATTGATGAATGACTTAAAGTTTTTATTTTATTTTTTATATTTTATTTTATTTTGAGACAGGGTCTCAGCCAGGTGCGGTGGCTCACGGCTGTAATCCCAGCACTTCGGGAAGTGGAAGTGGGCAGGTCACGAGGTCAGGAGTTTGAGAACAGGCTGGCCAGCATGGTGAGACCCTGTCACTACTAAAATTACAAAAAATTAGCCAAGCGTGGTGGTGTGTGCCTGTATGCCCAGCTACTCCAGAGGCTGAGTCAGGAGAATCACTTGAACCCTGGAGGTGAAGGTTGCAGTGAGTGGACATCCTGCCACTGCACTACAGCCTGGGAGATAGAATGAGACTCTGCCTCAAAAAAAAACAAAACAAAACAAACAAAAAAAAAGAGAGAGAGAGACAAGATCTCACTCTGTTGCCCAGGCTGGAGTGCAGTGACTTGATCTCTGCTCACTGCAACCTCTGCCTCCCAGGGCTCAAGCCATCCTCCTACCTCAGCCTCCTGAAAAGCTAGGACTACAGGTGTGTGCCACCACACCTGGCTAATTTTTGTATTTTTCATAGAGATGGAGGGCAGGTCTCACTATGTTGCCCAAGCTGGTCTTGAACTCCTGAGTTCAAACGATCTGTCTGCCTCGGCCTCGAAAAGTGCTGGGATTACAGGTGTGAGCTGCAGCACCCAACCTTAAACTTTAAAAATTAAGGAAAGAAAGAAATAAAAGGACTTTCCAACCTGTTTTTTTCCCATCGTCTCACAAACTAAGGTTTTAAAAGGACTTTCCAACTTGTTTTTCCCATTGTCTCACAAACTAAGGTTTTCTCATCAGCCACCAAGACCCGGTGCAGGGAAATTCCCCTGCTCCGTGAAAAGCCATAGGATGAACTTCCACAGGTGGGTGGCCTCTGATTGGACTGAAGCTAGCACCTGACTCCAGGACAGCCCACCCATAGGCTACCTAGCTCCCAATGCGATGGCACAGGGCAAAGAGTTCTGCCAATAGGCAGTCAGCATCCACTCAGCCAATCCCACAGCTCCCCAGGAATTCACAATGGGAGAGCGAAGGAGATGGCATGTAATTTTGGGCCTCTTTTTAGAGGCCAGAATATCATCATGTTTGCCTTTTAATCTGGTATAAGTAATCTTCAATTTAATCTTCAACCAGTATTTGGGACATGGGAGAAATTTCTCTATGCCCATGAAATCACACTATTTGCACCTTCTCATCTTCATAATAGCTAAGGTGGATTGGAATGAGTGGCTACTCACAGACCAGATATTAGCACACTATAACCTCAAACTTCCAGGCTCCAGTAGTCCTCCTGCCTCGGCTTCCCTACTGGGTCTAGAGGCGTTCACCACAGCAACCGGCTGGATTTATTTTAATTGTGGCTCGCACTATGTGAGCACTTTACAGGTAAATCTAATGTAATCTTAGGCCGGCCACAGTAGCTCACACCTGTAGTCCCAGCACTTTGGGAGGCCGAGGCAGGCAGATCACCTGAGGTCAGCAGTTTGAGACCAGCCTGACCAATATGGTGAAACTCAATCTCTGCTAAAAATACAAAAATTAGCTGGGCATGGTGCTGGGTGTCTGTAATCCCAGCTACTCAGGATGAAAATTGCTTGAACCCAGGAGGCAGAGGTTGCAGTCAGTCAAGATTGTGCCACTGCTCTCCAGCCTGGGTGACAGAGTGAGACTCTGTCTCAAGTAAAGGTCAGGATTTAAATCCAGATGATGTGACTCCAAGTACATGCTTGTCAGCTTTATACTATGCCTCATCCCACTGCTGCCCACCTGCTTACCTTTAAGTCAGACTTTAGTAAATTATTTATAAATAAGAAAGAGAAAACTGCAGCATGGCCTTGAAAACTCACCTCAAGAGGAAAGGCCTAAGGAGACACAATAGAAAGAAAGCTGGTCTGTGTCTAAAGACTTAAATTTGAATCTTGACACCTCCACATACCGGCTTCTGATTTCCCTTTTCTACGTGTCAGTTTCCTCATTGCCCTGTAGGGTGGTAATCACTAACCTACTTACCTTACAGAAGCATGTTAGGGTTCTTTGAGGTAATGGGTTCGAGAATGTTTTATATCCCCTGAAAAGCCCAACCAGTGGACAGGATCCTTGTGTGCTTTGGCTGAAGACAAAGACCCCCAGCTTTGTGCACTGAGTCAAGGAAAGAGGGGAACCAACCCAGGCATCATCTCACTGTCCTATTTCTCATGTGAGGTCGTCTACCTGCCTGACCTTCTCCTCCGCCTCCTCCTGATGTCTTTTCAGCCTTGCTCCCCCTCCTGTCTTCAAAGCTGAAAATGTTCTTCCATCTGCACAGGGACTCTGAAATAGCCTAAAACAAATGGAAAAGCTGATTGGAGGTTGGAAGCTTCCTGAAGTCATGCAGGACCCCTGAAAGGCAAGGGTCCCGCAACCTCCCAAAATGCAGACTTCCTAACATGTCTCTCATTTCAGTGAGCACCTTGTGTGAATTAGCCCATAATCCCTTCAGCGTCTCCTTAATATCCTAATCCAGCTAGCAGACAGGAGTAACTATGATTTTCAGACTTTGAGGAACAATCTGCCACGGGTCAGACAGAAACTAGAGTTGAATCATGTTGCTATGATTCAATGTCTCCTGGGATTTTCTAAACACCATACTGCAACCCTACTGTAGGGAAGGGTAATTTCAACTCTGATTGAGCCTAGAGCAGTGATTCTCAAAGCATAGTCCACAGGTCCCTGGAGGGTCCTGAAACTTTTTCAGGAGTCTAGTTGGGTCAAAACTATTTTCAAAGACCAGGCACTGTGGCTCATGCCTATAAACTCAGCACTTTGGGAGGCTGGGGAGGACGGATCACATGAGGTCAGGAGTTTGAGACCAGCCTAGCCAACGTAACAAAACCCTCTCTCTACTAAAAATACAAAAATTAGCTGGGCATGATGGCCGGCACATGTAATCCCAGCTACTCAGGAGGCTGAGGCAGGAGAATTGCTTGAACCCAGGAGGTGGAGGTTGCAGTGAGCCAATATTGTGCTACTACACTCCAGCCTGGGCAACAAAGTGCAACCCCGCCTTAAAATAAATAAATCCACACATACATACATACATACTATTTTCATAATATTAAGAAATTATTTGCCCTTTTTACTGTGTTGACATTTGCACTAATGGGGCAAAAGCAGTGGTGGTAAAATCAGTGTCACTTTATCACAAATCCAGGCAGTGATATGCTATGTACTAGTAGCCATTGTACTCTTCACTGGCATACACTGGTAGTAAATAAAATGCCAACTTCACTTAAGAAAATTATTGATGAGGCCAGGCATGGTGGCTCATGCCTGTAATTCCAACACTTTGGGAGGCCTAAGTGGACAGATCACCTGAGGTCAGGAGTTCAAGACCACCCTGGCCAACATGGTGAAAACCCATCTTTACTAAAAATACAAAAATTAGCTGGGCGTGGTGGTGCACACCTGTAACCCCAGCTACTCAGGAGGCTGATGCAGGAGAATCACCAGAACCTGGGAGGTGGAGGTTGTGGTGAGCTGAGATCACACCATTGCACTCCAGCCTGGGCAACAAGAGTGAAACTTCGTAAAGAAAGAAAGAAAGAGAGGAAAAAAAAAAAAAGAAAGGAAATTGCAAACATGTTAAAAACAATGCCATTCTTTTCATGAAATTTTTTGTTTGATAAAATGTAGGTTTTTCCATAAAAATACATCATTTATGTTAACATGTCATGGATTTACAATAATATTTTTAAAATAATGTCATTTTTTAACTATTAGCAAACTAAATTCAACAGCATATTAACAAGATTATTCACCAAGATGA